CAAACTTAAGTCCCTGTGTGGCTCCAAGACTGTGAAGCGTATTCCTGCAGAGCACTAACATTCTCATGTTCAACGACATGAGCTACTGCTGTCTGCATACGGCTCTACCACTCCTTCCTATCCGTGTGCTTATTTCTTATCAACTCTATTGAACACTGAACAAGCTTGCATCTATTTCTTAGGCATGCCACTTGGAGGATAGCACTTTCAAGTTAAATAACCAAACTTTAGGAAGACTGTAACTTATAAGTTATTCTTTTATACTATTATGTACATGTTTATGGAATTTTTAAAGAATCCACAAGTTATATTCCCAGGAAGAAGAAATTTGATGTCAGAGAATTTAGCATCTCAACAACGTATAGTTATTTAGCATCAGAGCTTGGACTACGTCTGCCATCATTAGACATTTTTCCACTGAGGGATACTTGGTTTTTCTTTTTTGATCAAAGGCCAAATTTCCTTCATGTAATCATTTCATCATGCAGTTCATTACTCCAGAAAATGGACTTGTGGACTACAAAAAAAACTCAATATATTTCTGACCCAGAAAAGATTTAGGGAGTTTCCTTTGTGGGGCATCCTTGTGGATTAGAGAGCTTGAGAAGCTAGTATAAGAATCCAAATCCAAATGCCTAATATTTGTTATGTACATTATGGAATGAGCAGTTTATTTGCACAGGTAAGAGGGAAAGTTTTATATCTCTTACAAAATATTATTCAACCTGTATTACATTGGAAAATTATGCCTTAATATTAAAATATGAGAGAAGCTTTATTTTACTCAAAATATTGCAAATTGAATCACATGTTTCTCAGAAAACATAACAGAGAAAACAGGAAGAATTTCCTACATATATTAGTCAACACAGCTTTAAGTTGTATTATTTTCTTAATGAAGGATAACAATCAGAAGAGGGACAGTAAAATGAAAAATTATATTTAAAACTTTGGAAAATCATTAGACAGAGAGAAAATTAACTTTCAAACAGCCAGTAGTTATATTTTCCTGTGGTTTCAGATTTTGTTTTGTTTTCTGATGGTGGATTACACATTTTATATGTATTTTATGAGTTAGGTAATTTATTTATAACTAACCTTAGTTTCTTTTTATAATTTTACATGTTGAGCATTGCATCTTTAAAAATTCAACTAGAAAAAGATTCTATCTCATATAATTTCCAGGGGGTAAATTTTCCAGAATCACGGCATATCATGATGAGGTTGCACTAGTGTCACAGAGAAAGAGCACGTAGTATAGAGGCAGAGAAGTCCGGCTTTGAATCCTGGTGCTCCCAGTAACTATGCGAACTGGGTGGTGTTATATATCTAACTGGGTCTCGGTTTTCTCATGAATAAAGGATACTGCAGTTTTTTTGCAAGTTGTTATGTAGGTTATATAACAATACATAATAACGTGTAATAGCTGCTTTAGAACTTGGCCTCTTCTTTCGCTTGCTTACTAAAATTTGTAATGCTGTTCTCACGGTGTCTGACACTTTATGATTTTAGCTATGAGAGTTAAAGAACTGGCTTTTATTTTACTTTTACAAATCTATCAGGCTTCAGTTAAAATCTCACTGTGTCCTGCTTTTGTATTTTTGGCTTCTATCTCTTATGTCAAATCAGCTAAATATAAACCCAACCCTCTCTAATATCTGTAAGTATTCACAAACAGAAATACCTGTTTGAAGCGCAGCTTGGATGAGGAGGCTGCACTTTGTACTTTTCCCCTATTATGCCTGAACTTGCTATAGTGGATTCGATACATGCTTAGTGGAATGGATCATGATTGGGAACAAAATATACCTCAATACCTAAGCCATGTTTTTGTTGTATAGTTAATATGAGAAACATCAGGGTGTACTAGAAAATATATTGATAAGAGTATCAGGGGAATTTAGGTAAATGTACTATTATTTTGCTGACATGCCCATGAGCAAAATATCAGTGGCAGGAATAGAATTTTAAATTTCTTATACAAGAGAATATTGAGTCTCTCTGAACTTGATTTCAACAAAAGAGTATTTGGGGGGTGTGTGTAATATGTCCAGAAAGTATCCAGCCATGGCCTATGAAAGACAGTATTAACAATGGCTGGCTTCTTTCTGGACAGCCCTCATCTAGGCTTTGTCATGGCCTTTTCAGGGGGTATTTGTGGCCACCTCCAGCGCCAGGTAGGGTTGCCAGGCAACAGAGCTTCAGGGAGTGGCAATAAGGTATTCAACAATAGGGAAGAGGGATCAATCTGCCACCCTGTGGGTTCCTTCCCATATGTGGCTAGATAGACAGATGGTATCACAAAACTCTACTTTCTTGCTGGGGGCCCATTATTAAAGCATTGATTTTATAAATCTGTTTTCATTTTGTCATATGAATAAAAGCTATAAGTCACATTTCAAAAGTATGATTCTTCACATATAATACAAATTTTAATTTACTAAAATTCATTTGAATGTATCTCTTACAAGAGCACTCTGCAGCCCCTGCATGTTCATGGAGTTGAACAAGTCATATGTGAAATTTTGGTCAATCTTAGTTATTCTTTGGTGTGGGAGGACAAGGAATTTCTCCATGCTCACACTGTCACTGGGAGCTAAGGATGAGATTTTAGTATAGGGTTTTAGAGTCCAAACAAAATTCTTAATCTTCCAAAGTTGCCTTGTTTCAGATACAAGGAGGCCATAAAGTTCATGTAAAATTTAAAACTGCACATGAACTTGATGGTCACCCTGACGCTGTCTTGTGGAAGGAAAGGTAAGGATTGTCATGCAGGTGACACCATTGCTCATGCATATGGCAGCAGCACCTAATTTCTGATGGATTCCTTTAGAAGACTACTGGCACTTTTATTTCCTTTTCTCTTACTTATTTCTATCCGCCTAATTCCTGCTTATCTTTGACTCTCCAGTAAACATTTTCGTCAACATTCCTTTGATTCTTCTAAGACATAGAGAGAGACAGCACACACAGGACAATGAGAGACAACAGTAATTTTCAAAAGAGAAATGTATTGGGATGGCCCCCCAAATATATCAATACACATTTCACTTTTATTGATGACTTTGTAAGGTATTTTATTAATATAATGTTTGAAACGAATCCCAAGATGTGTGGGTTGATGTATGTCCTAATGAGTAATAGGTGAATTGCCTGGATCTGCACATGAATTGAAGGTGAATTGGATTATATTTTTTACCCTAGAATTTTCCAAGAGTGAAATCAGGATTTTTCTTTCATTCTTTAGTCCCACATTTATTAAACTACATATTCTCTGTATTAGAAAAATCTTTCACTTGTCTCTGTGAGAATACTTTTAATATAAAATAGAAACACAGCCTTCTTTTCTTTCTGAAAGTTTTAATCTCATTTTTTTATTCCCTTGATGTGTGGTCGTCTCATTGTGGCAAAACCTTTCAGCCTGTTTTACATTCTGAATATAAGTTATTTGTAAATTATTGAATTCAGCCTAGAACCACACACCACAGAGTTTTTATTCCTTTAAAAATGTTTGGTTCATGACCTGCTGAAAAAACAAAAAAACAAAAAAACACTATGCTGAAAAATCTTCCCCCCAATTTTAGCGCTTTCTATATGAACTGAGTTTCAATAAATAAGGTTTTCAGTATGGATACAGATGCCCCTTTATTTATTTTATTTTAATTATTTATTATTTTTGGTCATGCAATATTCTTTCTCTGTACTTGGTACTGAGAAACAGAATGACAACATTACAGGAAAATGTGCAGAAATCAAATACTGCTTTGTGACAAATGTAGTGGTTTTATTCCTTTAGTAATAAATTTTGTTAAAATAGTTGTAAGTTGTTATTGGTGACATTCATTTCATAGTTATTTTAGAAACTCCAAAAGCAATTATAGTGTTCAAAATTATGGTGTCCATTATTTATTTTTATTAAATCATCGCTGTGTACATTAATGCACACGGGGTACAAAGTGCTGGTTTTATACACAATTTGAAATATTTTCATCAACCTGGTTGACATAGCCTTCATGGCATTTTCTTAGTTATTATGTTAAGACATTTATATTCTACATGTACCTTTGTAAGATGCACCATCCATCATTTATTTTTAAGAGAAATGTCTTAAGATACATCCAAGGACTTTGCAAGAATAAAACGTGTGTGAATTGAGATCCATCTCACAATGCTATGAAGTTAAAATTTGAAAATAAACTAAGTTATAGAGGTGAAAAACTTGATAATTGGGTTATAAGTATTTCAGGGGAAAAAAATCTGGAAATAAAAGAGAATAATTGCCAGAGCAAATCATTTTCTTTGGAAAGGCTGACCAAAGCAAAAAGTCAAAATGTAAGTTAGTCTGATGCATAGCATTTTTGTCATCTGAAATCATTTTAAATTACATAACTTTTCAACTGTGGTTTTCCTCATTTGAATTTAACTATGATGTAAGTGTGGTTTCTCTCATTTTAAAATTATGTATATTAAGGGAAGACGTTTTATGTTCTTTGCAGCAAATCAAAGGGCCAATACTCAAGTTGTGCCTTCCACACTAATGTTTTCAAACAGTGGAAGCTGTTATGTTCAAACAAACATAGCATCTGCATATTAGCCCTTGATGATACAAATAAATAGGAATAATATGATAACATGAATGAATAATTTGTAGCAATTAATTATGAATAATCATTTATTCATGTCATTCATGTGAATCATTAATGAATTATATCATAATTTATATTAATGAACATGTGAATGAATAGGGATATTCAGTCATCTCTGTGAATTTGAAGATGATGTCATATAAGAAGTGGTAGAAAATTCAGCTGAAGGTTAATTGAAAAATAAAATCATTGTAATCAGCAGGCCTTTTAACATGATAAATTTAGGTAGGTAATAAATTAAGTCATTTTTTCCCCTTCTTCTTATCCAGTACAATTCATCCACTTGAATCAGCCTCATTTTATTACCAAAAAGGAAATCATTACACCCTCAGAAATAAGTAAGGATGTAATTGGATGCACTCTATTTTCACAGGATATTTCTTATATATTCAATAAATAAAGCTGAAATGCAAGGGCTGTCATCAGATGTGGTTGCATACTCCATTTATTTGGAGAACAAGACTGAAGTTGCCATGTTTATACTGATGGGCTTCACAGACGATTTTGAGCTGCAAGTCTTCCTGTTTTTATTGTTTTTGGCAATCTATCTGTTCACTCTGATAGGAAATTTGGGTCTGGTCTTACTGGTCATTGTGGATTCCCGGCTCCACAACCCCATGTACTACTTTCTCAGTGCTTTATCATTCTTGGATGCCTGCTATTCTACTGTTGTCACCCCAAAAATGCTGGTTAATTTCCTGGCAGAGAACAAAGCCATTTCATTTGTCGGCTGTGCAGCACAGATGCTTCTCTTTGTGGCTTTAGGGACCACGGAATGCTTTCTGTTGGCGGCAATGGCTTATGACCGCTATGTAGCCATCTACAACCCTCTCCTGTATGCAGTGAGCATGTCGCCCAGAGTCTACGTGCCACTCATCACCACCTCCTATGTCTGTGGCATTCTGCACGCTACTGTACACACTGTGGCTACGTTCAGCCTCTCCTTCTGTGGATCTAATGAAATCAGACACATCTTTTGTGACATCCCTCCTCTTCTTGCTATTTCCTGTTCTGACACTCACACAAACCAGCTCCTTCTCTTCTACTTTGTGGGCTCCATTGAGACAGTCACCGTCCTGATTGTCCTGATCTCTTACGGTTTCATTGTGTCGGCAATTCTGAAAATTCGTTCCGTTGAAGGGCGACGAAAAGTGTTCTCTACGTGTGGCTCTCACCTAACCGGAGTGACGATTTACCACGGGACCATACTCTTCAGTTACATGAGGCCGAGCTCCAGCTACGCTTCACACCACGACATGATAGTGTCGATATTTTACACCATCGTGATTCCCATGCTGAATCCCATCATCTACAGCTTGCGGAACAAAGATGTCAAAGAGGCCACGAAACGGCTGCTGAAAGAAATTGGTTTATAAAGTATATTTTTAGAATTGAGTAAATTAAAAAAAAAGTGCAAGTTCATAGTTCATAACACTATGGCCACAGCACACTGCGTGCTGTGAAAGGATTGTAGGTGTGCAGTGAAAGTTTTTAAAGATCAGTAATTAACTTATTTTTGAAAGAAGTTCAAAGCACAGTAAACATGTTCTTTTTTTGTAGTCTTTTTTTTTTTTTTTTTTTTTTTGATCAACAGAGTTTATGTGTGGTGTGGAGGTTTAACTACAGGTTCAAATGTGCTGTGAGATTATAAAAAGATTTAAAAACACTGTCCTATGGCCATAAACTAGAGCCTAAAATACCTTCATTTTAGTTAATAATATGTATATATTCTTTGTGGGGTTTTTTTGGCCAGGGCTGGGCTTGAACCCACCACTTCTGGCATATGGGGCTGGTGCCCTACCCTTTTAAGCCACAGGCACCACCCTAGTATGTATATATTCTAAAACATTTCCAAATAAGGCATTAGCTAGTCCACCAATACAGTGTTACTTAAATTTAGATAAATTTAGATAAGTTGTATCAACTATGTGCTGATTATCTTGTTGAAGAGATCCTTGTCAAATATTCTGTGGCTAGTAATTGAGTAATTGTTTTTCAGTTACTATAACTAGAGGCAATTCCCTCAGGATCCTATGGCTGATATTTTTTTCACATTGCTGATAGAATTTTTCCATCATTCATTATGAAGTTACTTCTCCATTCTAAAATCTCTATGAAAGAATTTCCAAATTTTACTTTATTCTCCCTAAATGTGCTTCTATATAATGAGAACCCTTCATGCTTGTGAATATACATGTTGCTGCATTTATTTCTACAACAAAATTTTTCTTACACTATTAAATTCTTTTCTTGCAAATTTTGAACCATAAAATTTGATTTTATTCATTCCAAAAGTACTAAAAGTATATTGAAACTAGATATTTATACCTTTGATGACTCCTTATCATAGACCTTTGCTGGGTCTCTAATCCTGACTTTGTCCTCTTCTTTTGCTATTGACAAGAAATGACTTTCTTTGTCATTATTGCTAAGCATCAACTCCTAATTAGCAAGCACACAGAATGGAAACAATTTTACTTTACCTATACTCACAAATGCTTTTACTTTATTCTACTTTACTTAGTTTTGTTTTAATGTTTATTTGAAGAATTAGTAAGAGTAAAAATTAACTTTTTCCCAATGAAACACACTCTCTTCCCTTCACATATATTTTTCTGTTAACTCACCAGAGAAATGATCCCCTCAAAGGTAGCAACCAAACTGAAAATTTAAGTCATCAGTTTCTAATGTTTGATGATGTGTTACCCAAAGAGAACTCAAATAGCTCTATTCAAATGAGCAAATGATTTCAGGCAAAATATATACTCACAATTTATTTTCTAGAAAACAATAAAAACATTTGGAAAGATAAAATATCGAGGACATTGTAGACAAGATTTCTTCTTCCTCCTCCTCCTCTTTCTCCTTCTTCCTCTTTTTCTTGCTTCCTCTTCTCAACAGACTGGTTTCTCCCAGGCTGGAGTTCAGTGTCACAGTCCATAGCTCACTGAGGCTTCAACTCCAGGGCTGCTACTGGGATGTTACGGAACCTCCCCTGAGCTGAGACCGCACACCCATGCCAGCATGCCCACCTGATTTATTTTTCATTTTTATTTTTTTAGAGGCAGGGTCTGGCTATGTCATCCAGGCTGTTTGTGACCTCTAGCCTCAAGTGATTCTCCTACTTCAGCCTCCCAAGTAGCTGGGACTTAGATGTGTATGTACACCAAAGCACCTGGCCAAAAATGGAGTGCACAGATGTGGAGTAGAAAAGTAGTTGCAAAGGATACAAAGTTTCATCTAGACCAGAAAAAGATCTTGTGTTTTTATACAGTAGGGAGACCACAATGAAGATCAACGTAGCCTATGTGTCAAGGGAGCTAAAAGAAGATTTTCATTGTTATCCCTTGAAAGAAATTGTAAATGTTTAAAGCGATTTATGTTATGATTACCCTGTATCATTGTACAATGTAGATATGCACTGAAACATCACGCTGTACCTCATATACATGAATAATAACTGTCAGTTGGAATTTTAACATTTTATTTAATATAAATAAAAAATTAAAAAGAACAGGAAATGTCATCCTCTGAATGTGATCATTTATCTTGTTCATTGAGACATGTGGAATTTGTAAGCTTTCAACTAGTATGAGAAACAAGATGAAGATAAAAAAAGAAAGGAGGGGAAAAGAGAAAGAGAAGAGATGAAAGAAAGAGGGAAGAAGGAAAGAGGGAGGGAGGAGGAGAGACAGGAAGGGAAAGAGGGAGGAAGGGAAGGAAAAAGAGACCAGTATTATTAGGAAATGGGTAGATGATGTAAGGTATATTAATATCGATTCTGAGATTCTATTACATTTTTAAGGGCAGAACTAAAGTCCTGGAAGGATATTTCAGGAGTGACTGTGGAGTTATCCAGAAAGGAAATATTTGCAATAGTACTTGGCAGGATTGAGAAGGCTGTATAGAACTGTTACTCCCACACAGGATTTGGAAAGCTGCAAACAAGGACAAAGGCCTCAGAAGAAATCAACCCAGCCAACACCTTGCTCTGGGAGTTCTAGTCTCCGTATTTGTGAGAAGATAAATTTCTCTTGTTTAAGCCATGCTGTATCTGCTGTTTCATAATTATAGTCCCAGAAATTAATATAACCACTATCAGCATATATGTATATGTGTGTGGTGTGTGCGAACTTAGTAAGAAGCACAGTTCTTCTGCATGTGCAGAAAGAGCGTGGGTAGAATGTTGACTATGATCTTTGTTTTAAAATGTTCAGTAAGAATAGAAAGACATTAAAAAACTAAAATAAAGAATTTTGATATTGAGACACTGGATATCCGTTTTAATTTATTTCCATGTAATGTTTAGTATGAAAAATACATCAGACCCCAACTTTCCCACTCTTCTGATGGCCTCTTTTATGTCTTTGTTCCTCAAACTGTAGATGATGGGATTCAGCATGGGAATCACGATGGTGTAAAGTATTGAAACGATCATGTCATGTTCCAAAGCATAACTGGAACTTGGTCTCAAATACATGAAGAGGATGGTCCCATGGTAAATCATCACTCCTGTTAGGTGAGAGCCACACGTAGAGAACACTTTTCGTCTCCCCCCAGCAGAACGCATTTTCAGAATTGTGAACAGGATGAAACCGTAAGAGACCAGGACAATCAGGATGGTGATTATCTCAATGGAGCTCACAAAGTAGAAGAGGAGGAGCTGGTTTATGTAAGTGTCAGAAGTAGAAATGGTGAGGAGGGGAGGGATGTCACAAAAGAAATGTCTAATTTCATTGGATCCACAGAAGGAGAGGCTGAAAGTGGCCACTGTGTGTAACGTAGCGTGCAGAATTCCCCCAACATAGGAGGCGGTGATGAGTGGCACATAGACTCTAGGTGACATGGTCACAGCATACAGGAGAGGGTTGTAGATGGCTACATAGCGGTCATAAGCCATCACAGCCAACAGAAAGCATTCTGTGGTTCCAAAAGCAACACCAAGAAACATCTGTGCTGCACAACCGTGGAATGAAATGGCTTTGTTCTTTGACATAAAATTTACTAACATATTTGGGGTAATGACTGAGGAAAAACAGGCATCCACAGAAGACAAAACGCTAAGGAAATAGTACATGGGGTTGTGGAGCCGGGAGTCCCCAACGACTAATACAATCAACCCTAGATTTCCCAAGAGAGTGAAGAGATAAATTGCTAGGAACAGAATGAAAAAGAGGACCTGCAGTTTGGGGTCGTCTGTGAAGCCCTTCAGTACAAACATGGTAGCTTTAGTGACATTCTTCATGTTGAAATCTCAGAAAACAAACTTGAAGATATTCATAATATTGTAGTTCATATGGCCATGAAAATATCACATGTCAAGGGCATACGAAGTGTGTCTTCAAATTTATTTCTTGATAAAGTACAATTTCCAAGCAGCAGATCAGAACACATTGAGAAGCTGGTGGGTCGAGGATTGATTTCACTCGCTGTGGAATAGGAAGGAAGAGATGTGTGTTCACTCTCGGGCTGAAATCACATCATTTCTAAAACTGTCAGGTCACCTTGTCTATTTACTGCTGAATTCAATTTGGTCTTTTAATTTTAATTTTGAATAGATTATAACATCAAAACACCAAATGAGTGGCTAAAAAAATCTCTCAACACCCAAACATGTGAGAATCCACATCAATGGACAGCGCATAGTAATAAAATATCAAAAATTTAGATACCACAGAAATTGTGTAAAATGACTCTCTATAACCTTCTTATTTGTAGAATGTAAAAATTGATATTTTTTAAAACACTGGAGTAAATGTTGAAGGAAACAAGAAAATCTTTAACATTTTAAATATATTAACAGAATATGGCAAATTACATTATTTTTACAGAATAATAGGGTTTTTTTACTGCAATATTTCTAACAATTTTTGGCTCTTTTAGGTCTTATTGAGATTGTCGGAATAGAAATAATTAAGATTTGTGATGGACAATAGGCCATGGTAATATAAGATAGCTCATGCTTCATTCAAATATCTTTCTTACATAGTTGTATTTATATTTTCCTTTCTTGGCTAAATAGTTGGCCATGTTTATTACTTTTGGAAATCTAAATTATTGATAATATGTACTTTTTAAAAATTCTTCAAATTTCTGATGAAAAGTGGTAAAATTATCCTTAAAAAAGATATTAGATAAATCCCTTTTCTTTAAATATGTTATATTTAGCCACTGTTGGTTATAGATTGAGTGAAATAAAAGCTAGATAACTAATAAAGAGTAGAAATTATAAAATAGATTATAAAGGATAGTAATTCAAATTATTATATGCAATAAATTTGCACAATAAGATACTCAGCATTATATACTACTCAGCCATAAAAATAATGCAGAGCTAATACATTTCATAATAACTTGGATGGAACTGGAAACCATTCTCCTCATCATAAGAGTTGGAAAAAGAAATACCACAGGAAATTACTATCAAGTTGGAACTAATTGAGGAACACCTGCGCCCACATATGCAAGTAACACCCAGTGGAAGGGAAGCAGGGGGAAGGGTGTGGAGGAGGTGGGTGGATTCACACCTAATGGGTAAGATGCACACTATCTGGGAGATGGGCCCACTTATCACTTTGACTCAAACCACACAACAACAAGTGGTATAACCAAATGATTGTACCCCATAATATCCCGAAATAAAAAAATAAAATAAAATGAAAGAACAGAAGGACAGAAAAGAAAAAGCCAATCAAAAAATGATGTAAACATCATAAATCCACTTTGTAAATTTTAACATTACACAAAAAATTGTATATATGTGAATATATATATGTGTGTGCATATATATATGTATGTATACATATATAAGTATATAATTTATTTATCCAATACCATAACAGCAAATACATTTTTCAAAAAATGTATTTGGAAAAACATAAACTGTGATAGTCAATTAGTCAACAGTGATTGTCTTTAGAATGGGTAGAGGGAATGGGAGGAACAGAGGTCTGAGAAATGGAAATTTCATTTATATGTAGCAATATATTACTTTAAAATAATGAAGCATGTATGAAAAAGCTACTGCTTAGTGGGTTATGGAAATACGGTGTTTATAATGTTATGCATGTACGTTTGTGTGTTTTGTGATCCAACAGTGGTTGGTCCAACCTTAGAGTTTTGACACAGCAGTTGAATATAGATGAGGTATAGAGGAAATCAAAAGAAATAAAATACAACTTTGGTGGATACAATTAAATCTACCTATGTTTTTAAATTCCATTAGTAGCCATAGGAGAAAAGGTCAGGCCCAGTATAATTCTAGCTTATCAGTTCAATGATATATGTGGTTCATGACAGGTACCATAGGAATTGGAATTTTAAATTATGTATTAGCCACCCAGATTTATGATTAAAAGAAGTTTGAGACAACAGGGTTACCCTACAGAGAGTTTCCTTTTTAAAATATCAATATATTTGAAGGAACAAGCAACAAAATGATGCATAGCCAGACAGAATAAATAAATGTATAAAAATAAATTTCCTTTAATACGTCAATTTTGCTTATAAATTTACGACCATATAATTTGACTTTTTGTCATATATTTATTTTTTGCAGTTTTTGGCTGGAGCTGGGTTTGAACTCACCACCTCTGGCATATAGGGCCAGCACCCTACTCCTTTGAGCCACAGGCGCCGCCCTCATATATTTATTTTTTGATTAGCCAATATTGGGTCACAACATAAATATTGTAACCAAATAATTAAAAAATGTATGTAACCAGAACCTTGAGCTAGATATTATATATATATTTTTGATATCATATTTTTAAGCTATATGTAATTAATATATTTATTTTATGATTACTAATGCACATTCAAACCTTATTCTCTCAGGATTAAATTCCATTAATTCTCAATTTAATATTTTGCCTATTTTTCCTGCCCACTCTTTCTGTATTATTCTTTGTACAGAAAGAATAAAATAGAAAAGTAGAATAAAATTTGGTAAATTGTGTGATCTGTTAATATTAAAAATAAACATACTGTTTACCACAATTCCATTTATTACCTTACAGGGGGCTTAGTTTTGCTTTGGGTAAATGAAATAGTGTAAGACTAGGATGTTAAGCACTTCAGCTAAATTCTCCTGAAACCAGCACTTCTACTAGATGCCAAAGGACTTAGACTGTGTTGTCTTCATCAATATTAGACAATACTGACAAGTCTTAGAGTGATAAAGAGGAAAGGACTGTGATTCTTGAAGTATTTAATGATATAAGATTGATTCTATTAGCATAAAATGTTGTATAAATTCATGTACAAATACAATTTTAATAGAAGATAGAAACTCCAAATAGCTTAGGTTTGACATTTAAAGGCTGTGTTTCTACAAGGGAAGAGAAATAATACCCATTTACTGACCACTTGCTATGGGAAGAGATTTTTGTACATATTACTTTATTTCATCTTTATAACAACCCCCATAGCTCCTGAGCGGCAGAGGCAGGATTCAGTACCATTTCTTCATCATATCGCCTTCACTCTTCTCAATTTTACACCAACTCCCATTAGACCCCGGCATCATTCTGACAGTTACACCCTACCCACTCCAGGTGAAATAGACACAGCATGATTTCTGATGTGTTTTTACCATTGAGATTGCAGAAACAGTAGAAAAAAGTAGTAATCTGAAGTCACATCTGGATTACATAGCTAGTAACACAAACTACAAGAGTTATTATTTTTTCATTATATCAAAACATAAGCCACTCGATAGTTGAATCAATTGAACGTGTTCCTGGCCTCTATGAGAAAATTCCTGATGGCTCGTTCTCCAAACTGGTCTATCTACTTTTATTGAGAAAATGAAAACATGTCCTCTATTTGAAACAATCTTAACTATGTAATGGCAAGAAATTCAATGTTTTTATTTTTGTCATTGTTATCTAGAATGTTCTGGTTTTCAGTTCATAGGTATAACTTTACATAAATATGATGTCGATGAATACATTTTATTTACCTAGGCAGTAGGAAAAAGTTTCAGTGCTTTGTGTTATGTACTTCATAAGCTACAGTATTTAGTACAAAATCACATCTTTGAATTTGAATTTTTAAGTTTTAGCTACTAAAATAGCTGGAAATTATCAAAAAATGTTTCTTACCTGTGAAACAGCAAATGCAGGTTTAATTATGTTATTAATATGGTTCATTGAGATTCTTTATATCCACTTGCCTGACTATTGACAAACCCCACAGGAGATACTCCAAGGGGAATATATTTCAGTTATTATCTGGTTTAAAATAACAGTGTGATAATCTACTCAATAACAAAAAAAGGAAATAACTCTGGAAAAAGACGTCACATGCTGACATTTATCAAATGAATAGAATTCCTTGACATCTGGCTTGAAACAAAGGCATATAGAAACATTTTAAACTTAAATCAAAAATCTTAAGATATGAAACATAATTTTATGATATAATTTCAACATACGTTAGAATCTAAGCTCCCTGAAGCCCAAGTTCCTCATGCTAATGATACACAGTATAAACCACTTTATTTTGCCATGAGTCAGTAAATATGGAAAATGATACTAATGTAAACTCGCCATATGGTCCTTGCTGAATCTAGCAGATGGATTAGCCATCACTGAGACTCATTATACTTTTATTCTGTTCAAGTTATAAACTATATTTGCAGCAAATAAAGGAAGATTATTAGAAGAGGTATAAAGAAAATTATAAAAAATACCATAGAGAGGGAGGAGACAAAAAGTTTATGACTCTGTAAGGCTTCATAAATCATTAATTTTGTGCATCATGAATGGAAATTAATCTATAGTTACTCAGATAAAATAGCATATACATACATCCCACAGAGACAGAGGCATCACGTGTATGTACACAGACACATGCAATGTACTTCTACATACACGCAAGCACACAGACACACAAGGACAGGTGCACGATATGTTTGCACATACAAGCGCTTACACACACACACACCTCTAGGACTAAAATATAGAAATGTATCATCAGGAGACCAGGAAGGCACAAAAGCATTTCACTTTGTATCAATTTTCCAGATTCTCCTGATGATAGCCAGGTTGGAACTTGATCTCTAGTGAAAATTTCTAAAGCTGTGAAAGGATTTTCATGATCGTTTTAACATTTGTACTCACAAATACATTTGAAGATTTACTACGTGGGAGAGAAATAGAAAAATATCAGGGACTATAAACACCATGAAGAGATGCAAAGCCGAGGAAGGGGTAACATGCGATGCTGTGATAGGGTTTGAACATATTTCAGGAAGGGAGCAGGTCACCCCTATGGCCAGGTGATGCCAGAGCCAAGAGCAAAATGCGGCAATGACAGAGGACACTGAGAGTTCTTTTGGCGTGAACTGCATTTAAAGATTGTGTAGAAAACAAAGATCACCAGACAATTGAGTAAA